GCAAATTCGGCAATTGGGAATTTGTTAGTATTGTGTGTTTTTTTTTTTCAAAATAACGTACACTTGATGTGTGTGTTTAAAAGAAATAAAAGCTAATTAATTTATCCGAGGACATACTATTTTGCATAATATCATATCTCTTTAAACGTGTGCGATAAAATACACTACTTATTTACAAAAATGTCAACATATATTTTGCAAATTAGCCCCCTCAGTTTTGTTATATAACAAATCCACCATTTTAATTTAATTTCTCAATTTCTTATTTCTTTTCTCCAGGAGTTATTACAGGTGCAGCAGCTCAAAGGGGTGTTTGGCAAGAAAACAAGTCGAAAGAAATCCTGAAAATCCAGAAAAGTTCACCATAACGTATACAAATGAGCACAATCATGAACTCCCAACCCGGAGAAATTCATTAGCCGGTTCAACTCGAGCCAAAACTTCCCAACCCAAACCATCCGTAACCAAAAAAACGGGAAAAGAGATGGTTTCTTCTCCCACAAGTAATCCCATGATCACATCCGCTGATGAATCTTCTGCCGCGCTTCAAGACATTGGGGTTGCAGAGATGAGTACCTACCAAACAGCCGGAGAAATCGAGGGCATGAGTAACAATTTACCATCGGATTTGATGTCGGGGACCGGAACTTATCCGAATTTTACTGGTGACTTTGATGAACTATTAATGAAGAGCCAAGAGTTCTTCAGTGGAAACTTGTGGAATTACTAGAGAAATTATTAGGTGCTTCATAAATATATATTTATAAATATTCAAACTCATCTTATAGTTGCAGCCATTGAGAAAAATGTATATGTATGTCGAGTACTCACTAGAAGATAAGAGTGTCTTAGTTTTTCAATTTGTGTACCCAGCTTAAGCTTTAACAAACTTGATTTTTCTAATCCGTTTTTATCCAAATTTTACATTTCAATTCTAAAATTTCTCTCTACGTTAATTCAACATTTGACACTGTTCTAAGAAATGGTCCACCTAAATATAGTAGAGACTAATTAAGTTAAATGTAAGAGTTGTTTAGATCCTAACGAGTCGATTAGGCAATCCTAGAATATCTATTTGCCATTATAGACGACAATATGAAAACTCAGCCGCTCGGCCGCATTTAGTATTCTAACTTATGTGCGAATTATTTTTTTGCGAATGATTTTCTTATTCACAAATCAATTATTGCTGAGACAATGTACATTCATATAATTTGTCAAATAATTTGGAATAAGTGTTTGACCTTAATTTTTTACGCAACAGTTAAAAATTACTAAATATAATTTATTCATTCAACTTGACAAAAAAAAAATTCATTCGAATAATATTATTAACTAGCTCCAATAAAAAATTATACTCGTTAATTTACGGACTAATTCGTTAAGAATTTCGATAATATTTACCGTCTTAATAGTACTAGCTAGCATATAACCTTTTCTTGAACATGTATAACAAATATATAAATGTTTATGATCATAAACATCTTGTCATATAAATATTGAATACATATATCTGAAATAAAAATAGGTATAATTTCATTTAAATTAAGCTATACGTACAATGATAGATGTGTGTATATATGTGTACATATGTTTGAAGGAATGATTCCCTGATTAATTATATAAATTTGTAAGTAGTTGTTGATGAAATTGAATAATCATTCTTCTATGTTAATTTTTGTTTCCCCATAGCTAAATCTAATAGTGAGTTTGTCCGGTAGAATTGATCCCGTTGCTCTCGTTTCATTTCCGGCCAACCAAAGCAGCGACAGATCCAATAAAGGCGGCATTGATGTAAGTTGTGGGCTCTGCATGGGCATAATCTGTTCTTTGGTCACTAAACTGGTCTGATGAATCCGGTCCACCCACGATGGCGCCGGTATGCACATTGGGATTTGGTTGATCAGAATTGTAATATGAAAATCCTCCATTGCAGTCAACTTTCTCGGGTTTAGACTGGATCGACGGTAAAGATGAGCCTCTATGATGAGTTTTTGTTGGGTACTTTGTCCCGAATCCAACCATGTAAGACATTTTCTTTGGATTGTTTCCAAGGATGTAATCCACCTTCAAATTAAACCGGACAGTTAGCAAAAACGGAAAATGGTTTTCAAATAAAACCGGACTAGATGGTAGTTTATTTACCTGTGATTTGGCGAAATTACGAATTTGAGATGGGGTGAACTGAGATGACCCACACTGGATTGAACCGACCCGAGCGTTGGTTAGAGTTTTTGAGTAATGAAACAAAACCGTTGTAGCCGTTGTTACATATTGTAAGTTACTACTGTCTCTAATAAACAAAAGGCCACCTG